TTAGATCTGACAATGAACAAGTCTCATCTCAGCCTAAATCATGACTGCACACCCACAAATGAACTTGGTTGGAGAAAACCACAAAAACATACTGTTCTCAGCACAAATTCACTGTCACTAGTTTCAGAGGAGTGGGGAGCATGGTTCTTAGTGCTGCCTGGCAATCCTGTCACATTTCCTGGATCCTTCACTCTTTTACTCTGTTAGTTAATTATTTCATGCTGTCTCCTTAATTCTAAAATCAACACAGCCTTTTCCTATTTTTTAAACCTTACTTGATGACATTTATACTTCACAAAAAAATTGGGGCAGTAAGTAGGGAACTTTATCAATTTTCATGACAATTGCCATTCCTCTATTTCAAAGGCATGAATTACTTCAGTTCTCTCCTATACTGCTCTGAGTAAATTCTCTGTGTCACTGTGATCCTATAGCTAAAGGCAACATCTCCACTTTTGCTTTAGGTGTGGCCTTCTTATGTAATCAATGATGTCACTCTAGCAACTCTCCTTTTCTTCTCATCATGAATTTTCTTTGCCAGTAAGTCTTTTTCATCACTTAAAAATGTTAAAAATTTTTCAGTGATAAATATTGGAACAACAATCTGTCTTGACCCCATCTGATCTTTAATTACTAAACCATTTTCTTTATTCCATTTACTGACAAGCTCTCTAAAATAATGTTCTATATTTTCTCACCATTTTCCATCTTCTAATTCTCTCTTGAACCAGGTTTTTGCTTCTTCTCTGCTTTCACAATTGCTTTAAATCATGGTCTTCAAAGACTTTCACATGCTAAATTCATTGACTATTTATTTGACTTTATATTTCTTGGTTTATAGCAATAGTTGACGAACACTTTTAAGTCAGTTTCAGGATACCACACTGACCTGGTTGTCTCCTAATATTATGACCATTTCTCATTAGTCTCTTATACTGGCTCTTCATCTCAGCTGTCTTTAAATTTTGGAATACTCCAAGGCTTAATCCTAGAAATGTCACTAATACACATTCCCAATAAGATATTATCTCTTTCTATCTGATAATTTTAAATGTCATTTAAAAGTTGTTGATTCCATTTAAAAAACATCTCTAGCCTGACCTTTCTCTTGAACTTTATACAAGTATCCAACTCGTTGTTTGCTCTTTTCAATTAAATATCTAACATCATGTGGCCAAGCTGAGCCCTTGACAGATAGGGATATCCTTGCGAAACTTGTACCTCTCACAGTTTTCATCTCCCGTTTAATGGCACTCTATTTTATAACTACTCAAACAAAAACTTTAGCATCATTGATAGCATTCAAGGATGTAAGTCCTCATTGTTTGTCCCCAGCAACTCTTTTGGCTCTATCTTTAAAATGTATCAAGAATGTAATTACTTCTCATATACCCACTCTTGCCACTATGAAGAGAAAAGTCTGCTAGGAGTGTCAGAATAATAGAAATTAAAAGAAGAAAATGTATTTTAATGAGTACTGTTATGAATTACATATAAGAACCACTTTGAGAAATATACGAATTAAGATTGAAATTCCCATTTGCAGGACTGAATAACATAGACTATATCTTTATTTGTATTTCCATATTGTATTCGTTATTTATGAATGGCAAACTGAGAGCTAGTTTAATAATTTGTTTAAGATTACAAATTGAGTCAACAATAGGTACCTAGAATTAAAATCAGAAATGCATTCTTCCAGAATTCTCAGAATTTGCCAGATCAGTTCTCAACTTTAATTAAAAACCATAAATCTGTGTTTTACAAAACCTCCCAGGTAAGCAATGTATGATAGAACCTTTATAAGGAAAAACAGAGAGAGGATCCACTAAATGCCATATACATTGCTTGGCATTTTCTTGTCAATGTTTATAAAGGTCAGGTCAATTTGAGTGGTTGGTGATCAGAGACGATGCTGAGCTTCAAAGAGGAAGACCTATTGGACAACTTTCCAAGTATTCACAGATGAAATGCCACTATTTTTTGAAATTAGTTTATGGATAATACATATACATTATATACATTATATTTAAACAAGAACACATGTTACTAAGTATAAAAACTAAACATATTCTTACCATGTGATCCAGAAAAAAATCATAACAACTTGAATGAAATGTCGCCTGCTTAAGAATGTAGGAAATAAGTAAGAATGTCTAGGATGTTTCATTATTTTTCAACATTTATTGATTAACACCTACTATGTTACAAAACTGTTCTACATTTGAGATGAGTCAACTATGTTGTTGCCACAATCTTCCTAGAATTCCATTTCTCAAAGTGTTACTGTAAATTTTGAATTCTTTTCTTACTTCTCATTACATTCAACTTCTTAAACTCATTTCTCATCCATGGTGTGCTTTACACATTTGTGTCTTCTCTTCTCAAATCTTTGAATGTGATCCTCATATCTGGCTCCTGATTGACACTGACACAGATGTTGCCTATCTTCCTGTCTCTAACTGGTGTATTCTACTACCTTAAACTTGTTTTTTGAAAGACGGTAGTCTCCCCTTAGCAGTAAAAGATAGATTGCAAGACCCCTAGTGAATGCCTTAAATCTCAGTTAGTACCAAACACTGCATATACTTTTTTTAAGCTATATATTCATACTTATGATAAACTAATAATAAAATAGAAAAATTAAAGCAATACATTATAATAAAAGTTAATGAATGTAGTCTCTGGCCCTTGCTCTGAAAATATCTTACTGTATTCCACTCACCTTTCTTCTTGTGATGATGTGAGATGATAGGATGCCTACATGATGAGATGAAGTGAAGTGAATGACACAGTCATTGGGGTATAGCCTTAGGCTACTATTGGACTGTATATTCTGGGATCAGTGTAACTATCCCTTACTTGCAGTAAATGGCCTGGCATAATTAGTTTCAGGGGATCCTTTGCTGAAGTCTTCTTTAGGATCAGTGCTTTTTGGCACAACACATTGCCATCCATTGAAACATGTTTTCTGTTCATGTCTTCTACTCACAAATGTAAAGCCTTTTCTGTTTTAACTAAGCACTTATTATGCATTATGGCCATAACTTTTGCAGTTTGAGATATGACAGCCAAGTTTGCATAAATTTCTTTTTCTTTCTTCATAATTTCACAAATAGATTTTTTTCTTACCATAGGTTTTAGCAAGCTCAAATCTTTTTTTCCCTTTATTAAGTCAAGAATTTTTAGATTTTCACTTAAAGCACATTACATCTTCTCTTAGACATATCTGAACTGCCAGCATTACTGTCTTGAGTTTTCAGCCCTTATTAAGTAAAAGAATGTTACTTCAATGCAGTCATTGCTATACTGTGACAGTTGCTCTGATAATTGAGATGGCTGCAAAGTGACTAACAGGTGGGTATCACAGACAGCATGGATACACTGGACAAAAGGATAATTCATGTCTCAGGAGAGATGAAACAAGAAGGTGCAAGAATTTATCACACTACTCAAAACAGCACAGAATTTAAAACTTAAGAGTGGTTTATTTCTAGAATTTTCCAAGTAATATTTTCAGACTTTTGACTGCAAGTAATTAAAACTGGAAATTGAAACCACACATATTGCGGGGGGGGGGGCTACTGTACAAATCACTCACATCCCCAATAGGTATTTGATATTTGTCCTAGTGAAACCAACGCAATAGTCCCATAGACTATTCTTTTGGAAAAACAGAGAAATTGACCCTTCTGATCTTAAAACTTGAAGCTTACATTTGTTTTATCTGAGTTCCTTCCTCAGAAAAGGCCCTTCAGGCCTATCAAAAAAAGTATCAAGGAACTGAAATTCACCAGATCACCACATCCTGATAATGAGATGCCTGACCCCTCATTCATCATGACTGCTTTGGTGTCTCTCCCTAGTTATCATTTTCTTCTTTTACATGTGGTTACATTGTTTTCCTTGGTATATAAAACCCTAGTTTTAGGCATTTAGGGAGATGGATTTGAGACTAAGCTCCCATCTCCTTCGCTGTGGCACCTGATTAAAGCCTTCTTCCTTGACTATATTTATTGTCTCAGTGATTGGCTTTCTGTGCAGGGGGCAACAGGATCTAGACCCAACCCATGGTTTTTAATCACTAATTTTAGTTAATATGGTAGACATTCCCACCAAGTTCACAACATCTCTGATTAAAAATACTGATAAAAACAACAAAAGCAAAACAATAATCCTGAACCGGTAGTTTTTAAAAACAAATTATGTTTGGTTACCTGGTAAAATTTGATAACGGGGTAAATTTAACCTTTGTTTTTAGCTAGAAAACACATTCTAGTCTTCATATTTTTCACCATATTTTAATGTTAGGGAAGCTACTGGTGCTGTCTAACATTTATATTGAGGTTTAAATAACACCTTAATGCACTTTCCTATTCCATCCGGAGCTAAATAAGAAAATGCTAATAAGCCAGGCAATGTTTTGTGAGTCTAAATTCTTTATCTGAAGTTCAGATTGTATTTAAACCCAGTTCTTAATGAATCAGTTCCTAATGAATCAATTTTAGATTGTATTTAAACCCAGTTCTTAATGAATCAAAAATGGATCTAATATTCCTTTTTGAATGAGGTTTCTTGTGAGGTGATAAAGGGAGGGCTAGTGAGTATATCCATATTCTCCTGTAACTTATACTTTTAGCTCTTGCTTAGGCTTTTTGTGTCTTGATTCCAATAATCTGATAGGGACATTTGGACAACTGGTAAGTCCATAAATATTGATTTTCATGAATTGAGTTTCTAATGAGATCATGGCTAAATTGGGAAACATTCAATTTTATAAGATTAGGTGGCCCAAGACAGATTAAAACTGGACCTCACTCAGAGCAAACATAGCTCTAGATATACTTATATCAAAACTGTTAGTTCAGAAAAATAAGAGATTTTCTATCTCATTTCACTGTATATGAAATTACCACCCACAAAGGAAGATAGCAGTATTGGCTTATGTGTTTAATTATTTATTTCAGAAGTCCTAGTTATATTCCCATCTCTCTGTACTAGTGCACATGTAACTTCTTTGTTCAGAGGTATGTTTTCCTCTTCAAAATATATAATCTTCTTCATACAACCTCTCAGTGCAGCAAATTTTTCTTGGTGAGGAACATATGTCTATTTGCTTTTCACTCTCAAGACAGTCTCTTTTACAGCGACCATAACGTTTGGTGCAACGATCAGCATCCACCAAGATGCATGTGGCTACAGTAAAAGAAGAGTAACTGAAATTACTAATCTTTTATTTAAGCATAGATTACTTCTGATTTCATAAAGCATGATGTGTACATTGTACCACAAGTTTAGAAAATAATAACATATGATTTAAAACTTCATGACATACATTATGGATAGATTTTTTTCTTACCATAGGTTTTAGCAAGGTCAGCATACAATTTTTTTCCTTTATTAAGTCAAGAATTTTTACATTTTCACTTAAAGCACATTACAACTTCTCAAAAAGATTCAAGGTATTTTTAGAGTGACAGGGCAATTTACATAATCTTTCAGTTATTTTCAGACAGTCATGTCATATCTAAAATTTTTAATATTTTAGGATTATGATAAACAATGTGGGTTACATCTTTTAATATTTATATGACATGTCCTTATGATAGTTGTAAAAAAGTTTAATTTTAGCTTTTTGGTACTGTCACTAAAGTGCATGCGATTTTTGTCCCATTGAAATTTTAACTTTTATGTCTTTATGTTTAATACTTTTCCTTCTTTAAAAAAATTTTTAATATACTTTGTTAGTTATATAATTGGAATTTAAAAAATTAGTAAGTGTAAAGGTATTTAAAAAATATATGGTGGATAGTAACATTTATCTGTCATATTTGTCACCAATTAGTCTTCCTTATTTGTTGTTTTTTATATTGTTAGTTACAGATTTTAAACAATAACAGTTTTATTATAAGATATATAATTATTCAATTTAAAAATGTGAACAATTTTGTATTTTTATATGCAGAAGTGTACAAAAATCATCTTATTTTAATGTATTATTCTGACTTTAAAATCAGAAATTCTTGCACAGATGATTTTCATCATAGTACTTTATTTATTATAGTATTTTTCTCTTTATATGAACCATACTTGTCAGATATGTAGTTAACTTCATTTCTTCTAAATGATTAAAACATTGTCCCACACTGTTTATTAACATATTTTCTACACTTCTTTAAATAATTTTCACTGTATGCTTAATGTCGTTAGCATATAATAACATTAAGCATACAGTGAAAATTATTCTCACAAACTCTAGATCTCTTTCAGCTATGAATTGCATTTTATGAATATAGCTGTGGATTTTAGAAACAAAAGCAGCTTAGATTAAAAAATGTATGATAGAAAAATCATGTGCTTTATTATATTTTATTTCTTTATGTATAACCTTTAAGAGAAAATAAAACAAACTTGCAGAGAGTGCCCAAACATAAATGCTCAGCTAGGAGTGTTATTAAACACTAGGGACTTATCTACACACTACTCAAGTCAAGAAATAGAGCATTTCCAGCACACTTGTGGTCCCTTCCAATTACTATTCCTTTCACTATTGTTTCTGAAAGAAAAAAAGTCTTGATTTATGTTTTGTTTAAGTCTGCTTATTTTAAAGCTTATGTGAATGCAACAGTACAGCACATATATTTTTACATCTGATTTTATTCACTCACAATTTTGTTTTTTGAGATTTGTTCTTATTTTTCACATCTGTAATTCTTTCATTTTCATTATCGTATAGTAGCCTGATATATACATATACTACATTTTAGCCTTATCTGCTGATGAATAATCAGGTTGTTTCCAGTTTTTGAATACTTTTGTACTTGACTTTTGGGGTACATGCTCAGGCATTTCTGTTGGGCGTATCCCTAAGGGTGAAATACAATGGCAATGTGTCTGCCTAGCTTCAACTTTAATAGATAATGTCAAACATATTTTCAAATCGTTGGTGCTAACTTAAACTTCCAGCAGCATTTACATAATAGTTTTGGACATCTAAAACCTAAGAAATGCTTGAGATTTTTAATTTAGTAATTATGATGTGAATGTAAAGATACCTCATATATCTCAACTCATTTATATTTCATAATAAAATGTCCATTTTTCCAATTACCGAAAAAGTGTAACATATTTTCTTATGTTCATTGACCTAATACATATATATTGTTTAGAAAGTGATCAATCTTTGGTTTCCTATTGGGTGGTCTGTCTTTTTTATACTGTTTTATGTAAGTTCTTTATATATTCTAGCTGTTTTCCTTTTTGATGCTAAATGTATTACAAGTACTTTTCTCAATATAGAGCTTGACTTTTTTACTTGATGTTTTTTTATTTATAAAAATTTACTAATTTTAAAGTAATCAATACTATTTTCCTACTAATTAAGAAATTGTACAACTTGTATGTCAAAATTGTTAGTAAATCATTTTATGTTAACTTGTATGGCTTACAGTTTTGCCTTTTTTCATGCTTGCATCTCAGGTTATTGGAATAATGTTTTAGATGTGATAATTTCAGTTTCTCTTCATATAGCTATGCAATGAAACCAGTCCTATTTATTGAAGAGCTTATTTATCTCATTGTTCTTTAGTTCCAACTTTATCTGTTTCTGGGTTCTCTATTCTCCATTGATGTATTCAAAAATTTATATGTAGATAATTTCTGAAAACAGATATATCATAATGAATCTGGACAACAACAAAAAGAAACAGAAAATCTAAATATTTCTAAATTGATTAAGGGAATAGAATTCATAATTAAGCTTGTATAAAGAAAATACCCAGCCCAGATAAATTCACTGTTGAATTCTAAACAATTAAGGAAGAAGTAACACCAATTATACACAAACTTTTCCAGATAATAGAAAATAAAAGGATGTTTCTAACTTATTTTATAAGATCAACAATACCTGGTAATAAGGCTGATCAGAATATTACAAGAAAGAAAGTTAAAGGTGAACTTCATAACACCCTCACATGATCATTTTGATATCAGTAGCCTATATGCTAATATCTCTGATAAAGTTTGGTTTTGCCTTTACTTTTTCTTCACAGTTGTGTAAAAGCTTTATTAATTTTGTTAGTCTTTTCAAAAAACAAAATGTGACCTTTTTATTTTCTCTAGTGTCTGTTTCCATTTATTACATCTAATTATGTCTTATTACATGCTTGTAACTGTCAGGTTAATGTGATTTTCCTTTTGTAACTTCATCAGTTAAAATTTTAGTTACATTTTTAGCTTTAATTCTTTTTAGATAATGGATATAACTGTATTAATTTCCTTGTAAACCCTACTATGAACTTTGATTTGTCTCATTTTTATTACCATTTGGTTCAAAATATTTTCTAAAATCCATGGGCTTCATTGTAGTACACATTTTTTATTATTTAAAAAATATTGATTTGTAGGTGCTTTGCTGCACTCCTTTACCAATGTATTGACTACCTTGACAAAGATGTGAGAACTACAAATTCTTCACTTGCTCTTTTATTCCTACTGTACCTCGGTACTTAGCATATTCTAGGACTGTATCTCGAATCATCTTATAGATCCTTTTATTGAAATTCCTAGAAATATACACTGCTGTTCTCAGTTCATTCAGTTTCTCTAGGATCTAATTACTATTAAACCTTCAGTTCTGAGTTTTAAAAATAAATTTAATATATTATAGTTTTCTTTAGAATTTAAATATCTAGAAAGAAAACTCGGTCCAAAAAAGAGGAAAGATCTTATCTTCATTATCTCATTTTCTCTGCATATTAATTTGGAAAATGAGTTAGGTAAAAACACCAGTATAATGAAATTACAGATGAGAAAACCAAGATTCAATAAAATCAAGACCCTTCTTTAATTGATAAGATTGCATAAAAATTTTTCCTTTTACAATTAATAATTTATTATTTCTATTTCTAGTGAGAAATTTTACACAAATATAACACAGACATCTATTTTACCTGGTAGAATGAAGGTCACATAACACAGAAAATGCAGGAGATAGTAAAAAATTCTCATTCTGTAGAAAGAAGCTGTTGAAAAATTTGATAACAGAATATAGAGACTAGAGAACTTTCCAAAGAGCCAAAAGACATTTACCATTTATAGTTTCCCAGTGGAAGAGAAACCCTCCTTATCCGGAAATTGTTTTAATTTTGTGTACCTGTCTCTGCTCCAGTGATTATGGCTGTGGGAAGAATTACCCAAATTGAAAACTCTTGAAAATAATTGAGCTTTTGGGAGAAATCCCTCTATGAATGATAGCTGTAAGTATGGTATCTTCCTATCATTGGTAATTAATATTTAATGATCAACACAAAGGAGCATGCATAGAATAAATTTAAGGTTAATACTTATTTACTGCTTTAGAACTAAAACAACTGAACATTGTCCATTAAACTGTTGATTACTTTTCAAAATTTACTGTAGTCGCTAATCTGGTGTGTCAATTCATCGATATGCCTATATATTAAAAATTCTTAATTATATCATGTTATCCCATTAATTTTCCCCAAACTAATCATTTACAAGACCCAAATATTAAGCCTTACTTTTGTCACTAATTTCTGTTACATTTTTCAGCTGCAACTTAAATATTCCTGAAACTCTTGTTTTCCTAGTAAAGCTCCATAATTCTTCAGTATTTTTTAACATTTAAGTATTTTATTACATGCACACAATAAATAATGAAAAGATACTTTAAAATAAATAGCAGTAATTTCCTGCCCTAACTTCCCTATTTTCAGGCCGTCTTTTGATTACTAACATAAGAATAAGGATCTGGTTTATTATATTATCTTGTCTTACCAACCATAGTATATTCCTTGGTTTCTATTAAGAAAACTACAAATTTAGATTACTTACACTTTTTTTCTAGGCTATCTTTATAAAATATTTTGAAATTATGTTATTTTTTAAAAAATGTTATAGGTTATCATCAATAAAACACTAATATTTTTCCTACCAACTGTAGTTGCAATATTGTCTTCCTCATTTAAAATGAAAATATTAGCTCTCTTGCCAATTACTCCAGCATTTCTCCCCACTTTTCACATCATTCATTTGTTAAACATTTCCTTTTATCCTGTGTAAGATAATATGTGTACTCTGTGTATAATTGGAATTAAAACACATGCTTTATTTTTAGACTGTAATACAATAAGATGTATCAATTATATTGCCTTTTTCTATGTGCCCGATATCACAAAACTTCGGTTAGTCAAAGAGAATTGCTCTTGGTTTTGAAGTCAGATTGACATTATTATTAACATAATTACTATCGATAATTTCTTTTTAATTTTTCTTTTCTTATTTCTGTTTTCTTATATCTTAAGTGATTTTGTTTTTATTTTAGTTAATGATTGGTTATGTAGTTGTTGAAAAGTATTTCTTCCTGAAGTTTTCTTTGCATATAAGAAGAAAAAATAAACAATAGGCATTCCCTATCTTCAAGTTTATCTTAGTAGCATAGATGATTCCTGAGAGTGCGTCATTCTAAACCATTCTTCCTGAGTTTAATCTGGATCTTGTGTCTTTTTTTGGTGGTTGTTGTTCCTGTTTTTCTCCCTCCAGAAATGTTTGAAAAGATTTTTAAAAATTAGAATTTTTCTGCAAAAATATTCTGCCCTCACATTTAATTATTTGGGTGTTATATCTAGGTTCAAAATCATGTTTCTTCAGAACTGTGAAGCTGTTAACTCCACTAAAATCCAGATCCAGTCTTCCTGATGAAAACTCTAATGCTGGGCTAGCTCCTTTTAAATGTTTTGATTTGTTTCTCTCTTGATGTCATTAGGACATTGGTTTTTTTGATTCAGTCTCCCAAACTTTATGATTCACACATTTCTTGGTGTAAATTTCTTATGAATAAGTTATCTTTCTGGTATAGATGAGCTTATATATTTCCTTGGATCTGGGAAATTTTCTTATCTATCTTCCTATGTTTTCTTTCTCTGACAAGTTCTTCCCCCCTTATTTGTCTATTTTCTCTCTTTTGGGGCTGTATTTAAGTCAAATATTTAGCTATTTGGCTATAATTTTTTCTTTTCTCTCCTACTATTATGTCTATTTATTTTTTATTTTAAATAAATCTTCTTCTTTTATATTTAGCCTTTGTATTTTAAGCAATTTTGTTTGTTTGCTTAAAAAGAAATATCAATGTCCTTTTCTGTTCTCTGATAATTCTTACATCATAGAATAATAGACCTATATGATAGATATAAAGGCTGCTTTAATCCCTCCATAAATACATTTTAGAGAGGTTTTGTTTGTTTGTTTTATATTACATTATATTCTTTACCTTGATCTGTTTTCTCAGGGTCTAGCTTTCTGTTTGTCATTGTGATCTTAGATATTTATGCTGCTGATTTCACTCATATGTTGGATGAAGCACTTAATTATATTGTAGGATTTCCTTGGTTGTCATGCACATCTTTTCTTCTCTGCAATGGAATTCTTTTGGTAAAGTCTGTGAATGTGGGCTGAATTGGCTTCCTACTACAAGTAGAATACCTTAGGACTCCCCATATCTTGAAGAAGAAACCTTGCTCTTTTTCTGGAGGCAAAAGTTCCTATACCAGAAATCTTAGCTCTCTACACAGAATTTTAATTATTCTTCAATTGTAACTTTATTCCAACAAAACTAAAAACCTCATGAGGGAAGAACGATATCTCTTGTCTTATAGTGAATTTCCAAGATGCAGTATTTTTATTAGAATACATATTCCTGAAGTGCAGATATAATCCATTTGGATTTCTTTGGCATTTATGTAAAAAGTCAGTTGATTTTACATATATTTTATATACACATTAAGGTTTATTTCTGGATTCTATTTAATGTTTCATTGATCTATAGCTTACTCTTTTATGTCAGTACAAAATTCTTTTGTTCACTGTAATTAGTAAAACCTGAAATTGGGTATAATAAATTTTCTTAGTTCTATTATCTTCAAATTATTTTGGTAGTTTTTAGGTCCTGTAAATTTACATATCCATTTTTAAGTCAGAGTGTCAATATCTATTTTTAAAGCCCTTTGGAATTTTTGTTGGGATTCTGTTGAATCTATATATTAATTTGATAAAATTTGACATTTTAACATTGCCAATACATGAACAAAGTTTATTTTTTTATTATTTAAGTGTTTTAAAAAATTCCTTTCAACATGGTAGTCTTCAGTGTATAGAGAGGTCTTGTGTGTGTGCGTACGTGTGTGTGTGTGTGTGTGTCTAATTATGTGTTAGATATAGTGAACTCCAAGTTTCTCTTCAAAGAGTCATATGTCAGTAGGTTCAGCTCTCTTATTCTTTAATTCACCATTTTAAAGTTTAATTCCCTGCTTCTTTTCTTTTACTATTTGGAATTATAATGATGGATTTCTGAGTGTGACATTAATTTACATTTTATTCAATAATATTTTGTTAAGTTTTGAATCTGTATTCAAATATTTTGAATACAGTTTTGAATCTGTATTCATAAGGATGATTAATCTGTAGTTTCCTTGTGATTTGTTGTTAAATATTAGTATTAGAATAATGCTGGCCTCCTAAAATAATTTGGGAAATGTTCTCTTCTATTCATTTACACAGAAGTGTTTGTGTTATAATGGGTATAATTTCATTACTAAATATTTGATAGAATTTACCAATGAAGCCATCTGTAACTAGAATTTTTTATGTAGAAAAATTTTTAAGTATAAATTAGTTTTAAAAATAAACATAGGATTATTAAAGTTGCAAATATTTTCTTGAGTGAATTTGAGTAGTTCATGTCTTTTGAGGAATTTTTTCATTTCATGTAAGTTGTCAAAGTTTTGGCATAAGGTTGTTTGTTATATTCCCTTATTGTTTTTTAATACCTGTTACATTTATAATGATTTCTCCTATTTTATTTCATATATATAATTTTTATTAGTACTTTATTTTTTTAAATTGTACTTTGGGTTCTCGGGTACATGTGCAGATCATGCAGGGTTGCTGCATAGGTACTTACATGGCAAGGTGGTTTGCTGCCTCTATCCCCCCATCACCTATATCTGGCACTTCTCCCCATGTTATCCCTCCTCAATCTTCCCAGCCCCTACTGTCCCTCTCCTAGCCCCCCAGAAATGGACCCCAGTGTGTGATGCTCCCCTCCCTGTGTCCATGTGTTCTCATTGTTCAACACCCACCTATGAGTGAGAAAAACAGTGTTTTCTGTTTCTGTGCCAGTTTGCTGAGAATGATGGTTTCCAGATTCATCCATGTCCCTACAAGACATGAACTCATTGTTTTTTATGGCAGCATAGTATTCCAAATATTCCACGGTGTATATGTGCCCCATTTTCCTTGTCCAGTCTATCATTGATGGGCATTTTTCTGATATTGATAACTTGTGTTCTATCTTTATCTATCTATCTATATCTATATCTATATCTATATCTATCTATCTATCTATCTATCTATCTATCTATCTATCTACCTACCTATCTACCTACCTACCTACCTATCTGTCTTTTGGATCAATCTGGCTAGAGGTTTCTGAAGGACCATTTTTACTTTTAAAGAATAAGCTTTTGTTTTTTTTTTTTCCTGTCTGTCCATTTTCTGCTTAAATGATTGCAGTGTATGAGAATTCCAATTTGTCCTCCACATCTTCCCAACTTTTGTTATTATCTATGGTTTTAATTATAGCAGGTGGGATGTGGTATCTCACTGAAATATTGATTGGCATTTCTTTGATTGCAATTAAAGTGGAACATCTTTTCATATGCTTGTTGAACATTTGTAAATCTTCTTTACAGAAATAGCTATTCAAATATTTACACCTTTTTCTATTGGGTTAGGTGTATTTTGTTTTTCGTTGCAGATACTGTATTCTTTATATATTAACAGTTACCATGGTTGGGAGGCAGCCTGTTTTCAAGGCTACTGTGGAGCTAGAAACGGGAGAACGGAAGTAAGGCGATGAAAATCTCATTGTTCTTACTGAGATTCCACAATTTCTCTTGAATAAAGGCTCCTTGCATTTTTTGCAAGTCTAGTTAATTTACAGAGCTCTTTATAAAGTGGATTTGGACAATTTTATGGCAGTATTTTTCTT